ATTTGGGCAACTTTGGATCAAAAATTAAAGTGCACAGCAACACACGTTTGCAATAATTTTGAATTTATGAATGGATTACTTTCTCGATCTCGGTGTCGCGGCATCTCCAAGCCTTTCAAATTTATAAGGGACGCCCTTTAAAAATGGGCAATTTGGAAAGCGTAAAAGATTTATTCGATACTTGTTGAGAACGTCCGAAATCCATTCATTTACGCGAACCAAACCCGTTTACTTTCATGAAATCTGCTCGGAAACGTATCAGAAAAAAGCCCACGCTGATGGGAGTGGGCCGCAAAGGACATGAATGAAGTCACGTGATTATTGTATGCTCATAAAATCGCAGGTATTTAACCCATTACATTACCATACCACATTTTAGATGGCACCTTTTTACTTTTGCGTCTAGAGCCTGCGCCAGGAAGTGTCAGACTATAATGAATTCCAAAAGCTTCTGTTTGCATACTAATTCCCACTTGCGTCGCCCAGGCCAGACGGCGAAATTGCGACCGACTTTAAGCCCCTTCGTGAATAAATTTGACCTTTTTTTTCGAAATACTGAGGAACTAATTTTTTCTAAAATTATGTGTAGGGATTTACCGCACGATAGAATGATTGGGTGCAACCTTCAATAATCATTGCGGGATGCGTGCTTGTGGTGCATTTTCTCGCGGTTTAACTTGCCATTGATTTTTATCTGCGGAAATACCTTCATGTCACTGCAGCTTAGGTGTGTGCGACATGAAGCCTTTGGTGTTATTGTAACTGCTAAACTGTCATTACCTTAGACTGCATTTCTTTCCAGCAACGATTAAGGCACTCCAAAAGAGACATTCGGCTAATTATCATTGTGAAAACAGCCCTTAATTAATTCAATGGGTTAGCATTACAAAAGTTTCACTGATTGGGTTACATATTTGTCTATTTTTTTCACGAGAAAGAATTCGCAATTCACGTTTTAAGTTTTTACAAATAAATGTTCAAAAACACGCTAAAAAGGCATTGTTAGTGTCGAATCGGTTAGACTCAACTTTTGGCATTGTGTATTATATCGCTAAAGCTATGCCCAGTTTGAATTTCATGCAATTCGAGCCGAGATGATAAAATGGACTTTTGGCCTGCATTGCCAATTCACAAATTCTACAATTTTGATAAAGAATCCACCTGTAAAATTTCATACGTGATCTTTTAAATCGATGGACATGAAGCCATCGAGTGAGCGATCGGACGATTGGGAGAAAGCATAAGCGTCCCGACGCTAAAAAGCCTAAAATGATTATACTAAGAGAAGTGTATCTTGCCTGTGAAATTTATTGGTACAAAAAGGAATATTCTCAAATCGACTCTGAAAGTAATTGTCGCAATGGATTTTAGCCACAGCCACATAACAGTTATAGCCTGTAACGGCTTAGTTTTATTTAAAAGGACCGAAGACCCCACTTGCGTTAAATAAAATTGAACCTCTACTGCACTGGCAAAAATTCTACTGTAACAATCAATTTTTATTTCACCCATGGCTAGCTTTGTGATAAAAGTTTCTAGATACCCCTTATCTTGCGGAAGTTTGGCCTTTTGTGTCTTCGTAAAATCTGAAAATCAAAACCTATTCCAAAAAATCTTTTGCTATTCTGGTCTCAGGGCTGTGCTACACCGCATAAAAAAGAAACCATAACGAAAAAGCTTAAACTGGAGGACTAGTAGTGGTACAGACGGACTGTAGAATCCATAATTTCAAACAGTTCCAAGATCGGACTACTAGATCAAAAGTTACAGCCCTTTGAATTTTTTGTCGAAATTGGTTTTTTGCCCATAACTTTTGATTGAGACGTCTAATCGAAAAAGTACGAATCGTTTTGGATCCTACGCACCAAAATTAATAAGAAAAAGTTTTTTCCCGAGAAATTTTGCTGCAGTCGATTTTTTGTAAAAAATTTTTTTGCCCAGAAAAAAAAATTGTCTCAGATCGACCGGAAAAAAATATTTTCTTATAGAATGTGGCCTGTAGAATCGATAACTTCAAACAGTTCCAAGATCGGACTACTAGATCTAAAGTTACAGCCCTTTGAATTTTTTGTCGAAATTGGTTTCTAGTCTATAACTTTTGATTGAGAAGTCTGATCGAAAAAGTACGAATCGTTTTGGATCCTACGCACCAAAATTAATAAGAAAAAGTTTTTTCCCGAGAAATTTTGCTGCAGTCGATTTTTTGTAAAAAATTTTTTTGCCCAGAAAAAAAAATTGTCTCAGATCGACCGGAAAAAAATATTTTCTTATAGAATGTGGCCTGTAGAATCGATAACTTCAAACAGTTCCAAGATCGGACTACTAGATCTAAAGTTACAGCCCTTTGAATTTTTTGTCGAAATTGGTTTCTAGTCTATAACTTTTGATTGAGAAGTCTGATCGAAAAAGTACGAATTGATTTGGATTCTACGCACCCAAATTAATAAGAAAAAGTGTTTCCCCGAGAAATTTTGGTGTAGTCGATTTTTGGTAAAAAAGGAAGGTTATACACTGCCTTTTTTTGAGCCCCGAAAAAAAAATTGTCTCAGATCGACCCGGAAAAAATATATTCTTATAGAATGTGGCCTGTAGAATCGATAACTTCAAACAGTTCCAAGATTGGGCTACTAGTTCAAAAGTTACAGCCCTTTGAATTTTTTTCGAAATTGGTTTTTTGCCCATAACTTTTGATTGAGACGTCTAAAAGTACGAATGGTTTTAGATTCTACGCACCCAAATTAATAAGAAAAAGTTTTTTCCCGAAAAATTTTGGTGCAGTCGAGTTTTGGTAAATAAGGAAGGTAATACACTGCCTTTTTTTTTGCCCAGAAAAAAGAAATTGTCTCAGATCGACCGGAAAAAAATATTTTCTTATAGAATGTGGCCTGTAGAATCCATAATTTCAAACACTTCCAAGATCGGACTACTAGATCTAAAGTTACAGCCCTTTGAATTTTCTTTCGAAATTGGTTTCGAGCCTATAACTTTTGATTGAGAAGTCTGATCGAAAAAGTACGAATTGATTTGGATTCTACGCACCCAAATTAATTAGAAAAAGTGTTTTCCCGAGAAATTTTGGTGTAGTCGATTTTTGGTAAAAAAGGAAGGTTATACACTGCCTTTTTTTGAGCCCCAAAAAAAATTGTCTCAGATCGACCCGGAAAAAATATATTCTTATAGAATGTGGCCTGTAGAATCGATAACTTCAAACAGTTCCAAGATTGGGCTACTAGTTCAAAAGTTACAGCCCTTTGAATTTTTTTCGAAATTGGTTTTTTGCCCATAACTTTTGATTGAGACGTCTAATCGAAAAAGTACGACTCGTTTTGGATTCTACGCACCCAAATTAATAAGAAAAAGTTTTTTCCCGAGAAATTTTGGTAAGAAAGGAAGGTAATAACTGCCTTTTTTTTGCCCAGAAAAAAAAAATTGTCTCAGATCGACCGGAAAAAAATATTTTCTTATAGAATGTGGCCTGTAGAATCCATAATTTTAAACAGTTCCAAGATCGGACTACTAGATCAAAAGTTACAGCCCTTTGAATTTTTTGTCGAGATTGGTTTTTTGCCCATAACTTTTGATTGAGACGTCTAATCGAAAAAGTACGAATGGTTTTTGCACCCAAATTAATAAGAAAAAGTTTTTTTCGAGAAATTTTGGTGCAATCGATTTTTGGTAAAAATGGAAGGTAACACACTGCCTTTTTTTTGCCCAGAAAAAAAATTGTCTCAGATCGACCGGAAAAAAATATTTTCTTATAGAATGTGGCCTGTAGAATCCATAATTTTAAACAGTTCCAAGATCGGACTACTAGATCCAAAGTTACAGTCCTTTGAATTTTTTGTCGAGATTGGTTTTTTGCCCATAACTTTTGATTGAGACGTCTAATCGAAAAAGTACGAATCGTTTTGGATTCTATGCACCCAAATTAATAAGAAAAAGTTTTTTTCGAGAAATTTTGGTGCAGTCGATTTTTGGTAAAAAAGGAAGGTAATACACTTCTTATAGAATGTGGCCTGTAGAATCAATAATTTCAAACAGTTCGGACAATATAGTTCATTTCGTTATCCTGAATGAATATATACAAAACCTTCGTATTAGGTTACCGCACCGTGAGTGAAAAAAGCGAGTTTATTAAGTAAAATCAAAATTTGTGGATTTTTAAAAGATATTTAACCGCAAGAAAAATTAGAAACAGATATACTGTATGTGTTTTTCTTAAACCAAAGAACTTATGAAAATTGGATTTTTCATTTAAAATTTCCAGCTCATCGGTCCATCAATAACTCTAAACTTAAACATCAGTTCATTATGTATTATTATTTGTTGTACTTGAAAGATAGCTAAGATTCGCTTTTTAAGTAAATTTGATTTATAAGATCCCTAAAAAGATTAACAACTGTTAGGTGGTGGATATACCGTTCCCCCCTGTTTTGGGATGATAGCATGCGCTTACCCTTTTTTAATGTTCCTTTGACTATGGAACTAACCAGGTTCTATTTTTAACACAAAATTTGTAGAGTTTCTGCTCATCCGAAGGCTCAGATCTCAGTATTGAGCCGTAAGAGAATCGGAAATATTTATTTAATAATTTTAAAGCGTTACAAAAAACAATCCGACATTTTAAGTTCAATATAAAAGAGAACAACGCGACTTGCTACGGTTTTTTTTAACGTTCGCGTAATTATCAATATCCATAAAAAATTATTCGTAAACGCTGGCAGTAACAGCTCAAATACAGAAGAGATGATATTCCGTCCAGCATTATGTAACAATTTGAATCAAAATGCAATCAGCATTAACGTTTGTGATGTGGCTACCACTTTTATGCACAATTTACAATGAGCGTTAAAACGGCATAAAACAATGCGTTTAATTTTCCGTGGCGCTCGATTCTCGCGGGAATCTTTTTGTATAATTGCCGCTTTTTAATAAAGCTCGTTATACACACAACGTTTTAGTGCATAACGTATTGCCTATACTTCAGTTAAAAGGAAAATTCACTTACTTTCGCATCCATTGTCGCCAAATCCATAGTGAAGATACTGGCAGGCGTCACATCTAAATCCTTCAACCCCTGACTTACAATCGCAAATTCCAGTATACGAATTGCAAGTTAAGGATTTTGAGCCAATTTCGTTGCAGTTACACTGGGTGCAGGTCGCGGTCACGTTTCCAAATCCTGCCTAAAATTTGTAACACTAGAATGCAACGTTGCGAATAACCCCCCACGTACCTCGCAAGTATCACAGGTTCTTCCGATGAAGTGAGGCTTACACAAACACTGACCAGTCTTGTTGTCGCATTCTGGCGAAATACTGCCGAAGGAGTCGCACAAACAGGCCTGGCAGTTGGCGTTTAGAGGATCTCCAAAGTAGTCCTTTTTACATTTTTCGCATCGCCAACCTGTAAGAATAACCAATAATCATCAAAGTGGTTCAAAGGAATGTAAAAACCCACCCTCTGTATTTCCAGGACAACCGAGACACTGCCCAGTGGTTCGGTCGCAAGGCCCCCCTCCGCAAGAGCATGGCTCGCATTTATTTCCCACCTCGTATGGGTTTCCAAAGTAGCCATCGTCACATCTGCGTAAAAATGTTAGCTTGCAATCACCAAAGGTGATAACTTACAGTTCACAGTGGTCCCCGGTGTAGCCCTGAGGACACTGAGTGCAAACGTAACTGCCCACGTCTTCGCTGACTTCGGGAAAAAAATCCAACTGGCAACTCGGGCTGAAGTTATTATCCGGTTCCAGCAGAGGACACGCGCACCTTTTGCAATCGGCAGCGGTACCACCCAAAGGATTGCCATAAAACCCTGGCGAGCACCTTTCGCATTTCTCGCCCACTGTGTTATGCTCACAAAAGCACTGGCCCGTATCCGGATTGCACGTCCTCGAGTGACCGTTACAGTCACATTTGACACAGAACCCCTGCTCTTGGTGCGTGGTGGTGTTGGTCACAATCCGCACGTAACCGTAGTCGCAACTCTCGCAGGACAGACCGGTATACCCCGAAGGGCACGAGCACCTCTCGACGGCGCTATAATCTTCGTTCTCCCCCATAATTCCCGTCTCCAAAACCGCACCCTCCAGCATTCCCTCGATTTGATCCGTGTGGAAAGTGGCGCGCAACAAAATGTATTTAATATCAGTCAACACGCTCAGAAACTGAAATCGACTTACAGGATCGCCTTTATACTCAGTTCTGCGCAGTCTAGTTATTATATCTTTCACATCCGAAGGCACGTGATACCAGTCGTACTCTTGGAGCTTGATCCGAAACTCCATGTCCTTTCCAACGTATTGCTCCTCGCCAAATCCAATTTTCATACCGTTATTTCCAACCAAAATAATATTAGGTCCGGCCGTGGGTTTTCCACTGGTATCCCCTCTCATTACTATCCACTGCACCTTGAAGGAAAAGTAGGAGCCGTAGCTCTCCAACTTATTCCCTAGGTAATCTTCGGGTGCCAACCAGTAGAAGGCTTCCACATCGGGGATTTCGTAGTTGCCGATGATCCACGTGCGTATATCGGGATCCCAGGTTGGAGTTACCACTTTATTCAGTGCGATGTCGGTTACCTTCCACTCTTCCGCCGACTCGAGCTGGAACTCACAATTAGCGAGGGTTTAGTAGTTGGGGGTTACCTTTTTCGGTTGGATTATGGCAGATTCGCAGAGGGTGGTGACCCCCGAGCAGTAGCAGGACGCGCAGCCCTCGCGGTTGTCGTAGCGCAAAGCAAAATGGCCGGTTTTGCAATTGTCACAGTGCTTTCCGTCTGCAAAAGGCTGTAATAGAAGAGTACTTTATTAAATACAATTCTGGTATAGTTAGTTAGTGGTATTAGTGCGCGCAACTAGTGTTTTTTAGCACCCGCACGCTAGTAAGGGAGTATTGGGGTAAAAAATGATCCCCTGTGTTTTTGACTGAAATACTCGTTTTAGAGAACCAAGAATCCGAATCAAACAAAATCTCGATTATGTCGTCTGTCTGTCAGTACTCTCATTTGCGGCTAAACGGTTGAACCAAATTTGGTACACATATTCCCCTTGGTGAGTTGGACCCAAAAGGACAATATTTCATTAAAGAGTCTTCTTTGGTTTGGGGCGGTACAGATAAAGGAAGTGCTTACCTTGCAGACGCAATCGTTCTCGCAATCGTGGTGTTGGATGGTGCCTCGTGGATCGCAAGGGCACAGCTCACAGTTGGGGTAGCCACGATAGCCCGGGGCGCACTCGTTGCACGTCGTACCGGCGTACCCCTTACGACACTCGCATCTTCCCGCGGACTCGCCGCCAGGTTCACACGTGCCGACGGATCCGTACTTGTCGCATTCGCACTTGAAGCACGGCGTCCTCGCATCTGGCGAAACGGAAGTTGGGCGATAGTACCCCTGAACGCACCGCTCGCAATTCACCCCCGTGGTGAAATCCTGAAAGTGACCAAAGTTGCCCTTGCACACTCAGGCGCGTGATCTTACCGTACAATTATCGCAAACTCCGCCTCCTTGGTAATTGCCATCCGCATCCAGACTAAGACCGGCTTTATCCACTTCTTCATCGTAATGACAGCTCACGGAGTGCCCGTGACAGTTGCACGGGATACATTTCCTGGCATCCCGAGACGATCCCGGTCCCCACTGCTTCTGGTTGTACAATGGACAGCATCTTTCGCAATTCGGCCCGCATGTATGGTGCGAGCACTCGCATTCTGGGTGCTGAAAGAGAAAAGAAATCAATCTCTAATTGATCTGGCACGCCTGTCCAACCGGCTTGGTATTCACGGTTTTAAATGGGGGGATTCATTTTTTGACAATGTTGTTGTAAACTAATGAAATCGTAAATCAACATTCTGTAATCTGATCTACACGCCGGAATGTGGAATTTTGTAGGTCCCTCTCATTTAGATTAGTATCTTCAGCTGGTGCATACTTGCGCGTATTATGTTTGTGGTCGGATATTGTACCGCTTTGGTATAAAAACGACGGAACACCTGTTGGAATTACGTAATTTCATTTTCAGATCGGATGGAGCTAATTTTTCTCCAAAAACTTAACGGCTCTTATTTATAATGGCTCTAGATTATCGAAGGTAGGTACTAAGGTTTCTATTCCCTTGACTTTCGGAAAAATAAAAAGGCATTAGTTTTAAAGGCACACTTATAGAAAGGTCAAAATTTATTTTTAGAGGGTAGTTTCGGGGTTGCTTACAAATCACTTAAACATAATCGATTAAAGAAAGAAAAATATTCGGTGCGCTGCAAAAGTTACAACCCCCCTAATCAAAGATTACTATGCATGTGAGTGTGAATTATCTAAAAAATTACGCATGTATAATAGGAGAATGAAATTTATTTTTAGAGGGTAGTTTCGGGGTTGCTTATAGATCATTTAAACATAATCGATCAAAGAAACAAAAATGTTCGGGGCGCTGCAAAAGTTACAACCCCCCTAATCAACGATTGCTATGCAGTTAAGTGCGAATTTTCTAAAAAATTACGTATGTATAAAAGGAGAATGAAATTTATTTTTAAAGGGTCGTTTCGGGGTTGCTTATAGATCACTTAAACATAATCGATCAAAGAAACAAAAAATATTTGGGGCGCTGCAAATGTTACAACCCCCCCAATCAACGATTGCTATGCAGTTAAGTGCGAATTTTCTAAAAAATTACGTATGTATAAAAGGAGAATGAAATTTATTTTTAAAGGGTAGTTTCGGGGTTGCTTATAGATCACTTAAACACAATCGATCAAAGAAACAAAAATGTTCGGGGCGCTGCAAAAGTTACAACCCCCCTAATCAACGATTGCTATGCAGTTAAGTGCGAATTTTCTAAAAAATTACGTATGTATAAAAGGAGAATGAAATTTATTTTTAAAGGGTAGTTTCGGGGTTGCTTATAGATCACTTAAACATAATCGATTAAAGAAAGAAAAATATTCGGTGCGCTGCAAAAGTTACAACCCCCCTAATCAACGATTGCTATGAAGGTAAGTGCGAATTTTCTAAGAAAATTACGTATGTATAAAAGGAGAATGAAATTTATTTTTAGAGGGTAGTTTCGGGGTTGCTTATAGATCACTTAAACATAATCGATCAAAGAAACAAAAATATTCGGTGCGCTGCAAAAGTTACAACCCCCCTAATCAACGATTGCTATGAAGGTAAGTGCGAATTTTCTAAGAAAATTACGTATGTATAAAAGGAGAATGAAATTTATTTTTAGAGGGTAGTTTCGGGGTTGCTTATAGATCATTTAAACATAATCGATCAAAGAAACAAAAATATTTGGCGCACTGCAAAAGTTACAACCCCCTCTAATCAACGATTGCTATGCATGTAAGTGCGAATTTTCTAAAAAAAATACGCATGTATAAAAGGAGAATGAAATTTATTTTTAGAGGGTAGTTTCGGGGTTGCTTATAGATCATTTAAACATAATCGATCAAAGAAACAAAAATATTCGGTGCGCTGCAAAAGTTACAACCCCCCTAATCAACGATTGCTATGAAGGTAAGTGCGAATTTTCTAAGAAAATTACGTAAGTTTAAAAGGAGAATGAAATTTATTTTTAGAGGGTAGTTTCGGGGTTGCTTATAAATCACTTAAACATAATCGATCAAAGAAACAAAAATATTCGGTGCGCTGCAAAAGTTACAACCCCCTTAATCATCGATTGCTATGCAGGTAAGTGCGAATTTTCTAAAAAATTACGTATGTATAAAATGAGAACGAAATTTATTTTTAGAGGGCAATTTCGGGGATGGATCAATTAAACATAATAGATCAAAGAAACATTTAGGAACTATAACCAAAAACAACAAGAAATTTGTACGCCACCGCTTGAAAGCTTTTTGTATAGGGAAGAGGGATGCGTTTTGCATAAATTGGCCCAGTAAATTACTGTTGACTTCAAAGTTTTTGGAGTTCAGCTACCTTTCGTCCATCTTGGGCAAAATAAGCGCAAAATGTAAAGTTATATTGTTACAGTCTCAATCGTTCATTTTTTTACGTACCTACCCCGGTAATTAATAAACCCAGTTAGATCAAAGAGATCAAATTACTATTTCGAGTATTGCGATGAGAATAATGTAAGTTTTTCAGCATAGTTCAATTGTTTGTGACTGTTCTGAAAAAGTCGATAATAGGGTAAAAGTGGAGCTGTCGTCGTGAAGTACAAGAAAATGCCTTCTTTTCTCGTGCATCTGAATACATCCGTGTAAATCGCGATTGGAAAGCATGTTGCATTTTTGTTACCTTACGAAGCATGGAATTAAAGTGAAAAGTTCAGACACGCAGACAGATGCCTTATAAGCGCAAGAGCGCCACTACCATTCCAAGAAGAACTCGAAGGTATATCTTCTGTATTTGGTATTATTTGATAGCAATCGTGTGGGAAAGATATCAGTCTCGTTCCCTTAACGAAAGGCATGCGTTTGATGCGCCTTTCAAGTTTCGTTTGCCCCCTATAAAAACTAAATTCATTGCGATCTGGCGAAATTGCCCTATAGGTGTCTAGCCGAATAATTTACTACAGCGCCTATCCGCGCGCCGTTAAATGTTTATGTTTATTAGCTGTTGGGATTGTTCCAGGTTTGTGAAATGATCAATTAAACTGTGATATAAACCCGGTCGGGATAATACGGACTTAAAACTCTTACCCCTGAGGCGACATTATGTCGACAATTTGCTGCATGCCCATTACACACGCATTGACCTCCGATGCTTATATCCCTAATCGAATAGAAGAGTCGTTTATCCCTGAAGTTATCCTGCGAGAGCCATTTCGGCGTCGGTTCCACCGCCGCTTTGAATCCCTGAAATTTCAGACGAACGAATCGCGCCTTCGTGAACTCGAGAAGTTCGGGACTGGACTCGTTGGCGCCGGGACGCCCTTGCACCAAAAACGCATGCACCTAGAAAAGAAAGTTAATTAATATCATTCCAATAAGAAGAAATGCGCAAAACCGGCAACTTTAATCAGTCCATTACAGAAACCTGATTTTAATCTCCGTTTTTATCATGCCATTCAACGGGTTCTTCTTTATTAAGTCGCTGATTATCTTTTAATGCGCTCTCGTACGCGGCCACTTCCGCGTTTATTTACCAGAATTAGTTACGACATCTGTATTCCCCAGATGTAAGTCAGATACCATCGCCTTTTTTTACTGTATGTATACTCAATTGATTGTTCCAAAGATAAAAACGTCAGCATTCAATATTCTTTCGATACCATCATTTTTGAGAACTGACTGACACTAAATGTTATTTATTGAATGTGTCAAAAAGAAGAGCAGCTCACAGAAAGTGCGGAAGAGGCGTTTAGAAGGAACGAAGCTCAGGGAGCTGATAAGGAGCCGTTAAAAATCGCGAATTAAACTGGAAGGAACCATCAAGGAAATGTGTAGAAGAATGTACGAAAAAGGCAGCACGGATGAAGGAATGAAAAAGGAGTGAAAGATTGGGGGAGGAAGCAGGCGTAATAGGCGCGCCCCACCAGACAAGGGGAATTGAGGGCGCTGTAAGCGAACCCTGAGGAAAAGTGTAAAGGAAGCTTGATAAAAAGCGGAAAAGGCGTGAGAGGTTATAGTAGGAAGAAAAATGAGAAGACGTTAAGGGATAGTCATGTGGAATGGAAAGAACTAAAGCAGGCGTGAGAAAAGCAGGAAGTGTTAACGAGGCGTAAAAGGTGAAATGATAAAATAGACATTGGAAAAGGGTAGGGGCAGAAAGAGGAAGAAGGCTTTGAACGAGTCTGAAAGAAATAGTGAAAGAGGCGTTATAGGAGGGCTGATCAAGCTGCAAACAATGGAGTTAAGGAGATAAGAGGTGGAGGAGGTGTGAAGAAGAGGTGATATAAGAAAGATAAGATACAAAGAGCAGAGAAGGTGTCAAGAAGGCGTGAAGAAGAGAAGGATGCATATGACGCCTAAGCAAAGGTGAAAGGATTTTGAGGAGAAAATATGACAAATAAAAGAGTGGAGTGGTGAAAAACTCGTAAAAAACAAACGTAAACGAAGAGTGAAAAAGTGGGAAAGGAAGGAGGCGAAGGCAAGTCTAGAAGATTGAATGAAAGTGAAAGACCCGTAAAGGAGGCAAGAATGATACAAGGATGTGGTGCAAATGAGACCTGAGAAGAAGTGAAGAGGCATAGAGAAAAAGTGGCAAAGACATGAAAAACGAAAAGGAGAGACAAATGAAAGACGCGTCAACGAAACCATAAAAGGGACGCCGTAAAGAATGCGTATGAAAAATGTGGCATGAAAAAAGCAAGAAGAAGAACCGAGACGTAAGGACGCCTATGTGTCTCAGTGGTAGAAAGAGGAGGGAGGCATTCAGAGAATCGTAACAATTAAGAGACAAAGGAAACAGAAGGGGTGAAGAAAGTCGTCAGTAAGAAGACGTGGAGGAAGTATCAACAATATAAAGTTACCTCTCCATTTTCAAAGGGTGCCAACTTTGAATAGTACGAAGTGCAGATAACTTCTGAATCCGTGTAGAAATGCGGCTTGCCCTTAGTAGGAGAAATGCCATAGCGTTCGAAACATTCCTTGTCGTTTCTCGCATAGTACTGCCACGCTTTGTAATCCATTCCATCGATTGACCGTTCCAAAATCCAAGAACCCGGTCGGGGGGAATTGGCCGCCTTTAATGTCACGTAAGCCACTTGGTATACCTGAAACAAAAAGAAAGAGTTCATTTTTTGCATGCAATTACTCGACCCTACTATTGGAACTAACTTTTATTGAATGCGAAAATACCAACCTTACCCCTATTTGAGAAGGAGGGAATCTCGTTAAACTAAACTTGAAAAATTCGCTTCTCGATACTCGTCCCTAAAAATACCAGTCCAAGAATTCGTTCCCTTTTCAAGGGAAATTGGTTCCCAGAGGGGAATTTAAATAGGTCGAAGTTTATTAAGGACGAGGAAAGACTGGGAGATATCTCGGGAAACTCATTCGAATTAAAATTCCACCCTAAAGGACACTGCTCTCAATCGAACTATAGTCCTTCTAGTAATTGGTCTAATCCTTGGAGAGGAGAATTTAAATAGGGCGAAGTCCATTGGGGACGAGGTTAACCTTCTGTGAAAGACTGGGAGAACTTATCTGGGGATAATATTCTGGCGGCGAATTTTCCGAGAAAAAATACGAATTTTCCGAAGAAAGAAATTTAATGGGACAACGTTCCTCGCCGGTCGAGTATTCCGAAGTTCAGTTTCCGTAAGATAATGGAGGTAAATTCTTGTAGAAGGAGTAATATCCTCGGGGGGAATTATTCTCTTGAGAAGGGTATTTAATGGGGGCGAAGTTCCTTGTGGTCAAATATTGCGAAGGTAAATTTTTGGGATATAAGGGTGGTTTGTGTCCCCGTCTCAAGGATGGCACCTCTTAATTGGGAGGTTATGAGAGGTGAGTACATATGGGTGAAGGGTTGGAATTAAATTCCGCTCAGTGTTAGGTAGGGTAGTCCTATTAGATGGCTGCTATTCGAAAATTTGGATATTTGAGATTTCTTTTCAGTCAATAATTTTCCAAATGAAATAAGTGCTTTTTATTTGTATAAGTCTAAGGTTGCAGAATGCGCCACGGGATTTTTTTTAAATTGCGTGATAGAGGGAGGTAGCGCCAACTTGGCACGATAAGCTGAGGTTCATTAGAAATACGGCACTCTACAGCTGAATTATATCCGGTCATTAATAAAGAAGCTTCAAAAAGTACTGCAATTTTTGCTGATGTGTATGGGGGAATTAGTTGTTTTTAAGAGAGAAAACTAATTAATTCGTTTTAAGCTGTCGAAGAGAGCCCATTTCGAATAATCAAAAAACAATGTTGTCTTGATCCATCACTGAGCCCAAGTGTTGTTGCATTTGAATTACAGATTTCTGAAACTCCAAGGTTTTGATCAGTCAGATTTTTTAGCGTTTCGGAACCCAGCTGATCTCTGAAATTTTCTTTTTCTTTAAAAAAATAAAGTTCATTGGAAGATGGTGGTTTGTTACATGTTTTAATTCATGCAATTTGAGAAGGTTAGGTTAAGTGTCAATTAAGGGGTGTAATAGAGTAGACTGTAAATAGTTCATCATTTGTATACGAACAGTTAGTCTTAAAGAAAGCCCAGACAATTTCAACCCTGCAATTTCCCTGCTATAATGTCTATCTTGAAGGCATCGTTCCTTCGAGAAATGTCGTACTGTTTTGCGCCATAGAGGAACCATCGATTCCACAAACCGCTATAATTAAGGTAACGTAAAATTTTTGGTTTGTTTAAAAAATTGCATTAAATTCTATTGAAAGTAATCAGTAAATTGCTGGAATGGAGTGGCATTCTAATATATAAAATACTTATCTTTGGACTCATCTCGAAAGAGTTTGTTTTGTTCTTTCCGCTGAATTCTGCATATTCGCCAGGTTTCTTATTGTAATTGAGGATAAAATAGGGGTAAGTTAGAAACGAACGTGGCCACAATATAGTGATAGGTATACTTTGAGTATTCATCGTAACCGTATACAAAAAATCCAAGGTAAAGTGGAATTTTGATTAATTTTTATATACATACTGCCTTTTTTTGAGGCCCGAAAAAAAATTGTTTCAGATTGACCCGGAAAACAAATTTTCGTATAGAATGAGGCCTGTAGAATTCATAATTTCAAACAGTTCCAAGATTGGGCTACTATTTCAAAAGTTACAGCTCTTTGAATATTCTTTCTAGTCTATAACTTTTGATTCAGGAGCCTGATCGAAAAAGTACGAATTGTTTTGGATTTTACACACCAAAATTAATAAGAAAAAGTGCTTTCCCGAGAAATTTTGGTGCAGTCGATTTTTGGTAAAAAAGGAAGGTTTTGTACACTGCCTTTTTTTGAGGCACGAAGAAAAAATTGTCTCAGATCAACCGGGAAAAAAGATGTTCTTATAGAATGTGGCTTGTAGAATCCACAATTTCAAACAGTTTCAAGATTGGGCTATTAGTTCAAAAGTTACAGCCCTTTGAATTTTCTTTCGAAATTGGTTTCTAGTCTATAACATTTGATTGAGAAGTCTGATCGAAAAAGTACGAATTGTTTTGGATTCTACGCATCAAAATTAATAAGAAAAAGTGTTTTCCCGAGAAATTTTGGTGCAGTCTATTTTTGGTAAAAATGGAAGGTTGTACACTGCCTTTTTTTGAGGCACGAAGAAAAAATTGTCTCAGAGCGACCGGGATAAAAGATTTTCTTATAGAATGTGGCTTGTAGAATCCTTCAAACAAAGATTGGGTTCCATGAATTTCGAAAATAAGATTTCCAGTACGAATTGGGCTCTATTTCTATTTTTGGTAAAAAAGGAAGGTTATACACTGCCTTTTTTTGAGCCCGAAAAAAAAATTGTCTCAGATCGACCGGGAAAAAAGATTTTCTTATAGAATGTGGCCTGTAGAATCCATAATTTCAAACAGTTCCAAGATTGGGCTACTAGTTCAAAAGTTACAGCCCTTTGAATTTTCTTTCGAATTGGTTTCTAGTCTATAACTTTTGATTGAGAAGTCTGATCGAAAAAGTACGAATTGTTTTGGATTCTACGCATCAAAATTAATAAGAAAAAGTGTTTTCCCGAGAAATTTTGGTGCAGTCGATTTTTGGTAAAAAAGGAAGGTTATACACTGCCTTTTTTTGAGGCCCGAAAAAAAAATTGTCTCAGATCGACCCGGAAAAAAAATTTTCTTATAGAATGTGGCCTGTAGAATCCATAATTTCAAACAGTTCCAAGATTGGGCTACTAGTTCAAAAGTTACAGCCCTTTGAATTTTCTTTCGAAATTGGTTTCTAGTCTATAACTTTTGATTGAGAAGTCTGATCGAAAAAGTACGAATTGTTTTGGATTCTACGCACCAAAATTAATAAGAAAAAGTGTTTTCCCGAGAAATTTTGGTGCAGTCGATTTTTGGTAAAAAAGGAAGGTTATACACTGCCTTTTTTTGAGCCCCGAAAAAAAAATTGTCTCAGATCGACCCGGAAAAAAAATTTTCTTATAGAATGTGGCCTGTAGAATCCATAATTTCAAACAGTTCCAAGATTGGGCTACTAGTTCAAAAGTTACAGCCCTTTGAATTTTCTTTCGAAATTGGTTTCTAGTCTATAACTTTTGATTGAGAAGTCTGATCGAAAAAGTACGAATTGTTTTGGATTCTACGCACCAAAATTAATAAGAAAAAGTGTTTTCCCGAGAAATTTTGGTGTGGTCGATTTTTGGTGAAAAAGGAAGGTTTATACATAGTATCATTCTAAATTCGCATTTATTGTCTGCAATCGATCAACTCAAACGAAAGTACCAAATTTGTGTTCTTTCAGAAAGTAAAAAAAGAAAATGCCAACATATTTCCGTAAGGTAATTGAATTAGACCATCTTTTTGAGCTAATGCTAATCGTAATAATGCAGTATAAGGTTAATTTTAATTAACACGATGAAACGTTGGTTCCAATCGGTTCAGCCGTTTGGCCGGAAATGAGAGTACATACAGACAGATGGACCGACAGACCAATCGAGGTTTTGTTTGATTCGAATTCCTGGTGCTCGGAAACGTGTATTTCCGTCAAAAAGTGGGGGGTCATTTTTTACCCCAATGCAATACCTCCCTTACGTGTAATAAAAATGAAAAAAAAACGCAATTTTTGAAATAAACGTTGAAATTCACAAAATTGAATCGAATGTGATTATGTGGGTTGACTTTTACAAGTAGTTACCTACAATAATAGCCATTCTACACCCATTAACTAGCCCACTTTGAATAATAGCCTCGTCAGTGCCACAATAAGACAAACGTCCCTCAAAGTCATTATTACAACTGGTTCGGATAAAGGGTTTAAGATGAGTTCGTATTTTCTATTGTCTGCCGTTGCGGAAGAAATTGTTTACAAAAAGTAGATTTCTATAATAGCTGTCTTTGAGATTAAAATAATCACCTTCATAATTAAGAGTCACTAATAACAGAACTAGCCATAACAATCAAATGAAACGATCACGAAGTAATAATTCTTTATGGGCGTGCACGTTTCAGATGCTTTAGTGTCTATAGGAATCTTATTATTACGTTTAACAACCTCACTAAAAGTGGACCGTTTACGTTTTCCGCCACCCACCTTCTATGCATATGTTTACTTTCATCAAAATGTTTATTGACTATTTGTTTATGTTGTATTAATGAATATATGCGTTTAGGCCCCTTTTGGGATGATTAGGATGAATTGGTCTCCTCTATAGAAGAATAGTAAGGAAATTCCCCTTCAATTTTCACCAATCGATTGCTGAGCTTTTGGATTTTTGTTGTGCTCCATTGTAGGTGTAGTAGAAATGATCTCTGCAATGCTTATTGAGGTGTTACGTGTCGAGAGGTAAATTTTGTATTCCCTTGAGAGGAGATTCTGAGCTAATTATGTCAAGGAATTAGTGCATTTATACAGATACGTAACAAAGCGAGACGTGCACACGTCACATTTCTGTCTGCAGAACACATCACCATGTAGCTTCACTCATTTAACCTTTACGTATGCGCCATTTGGAGCAGAAACCGTTGTCGAAAACTAATTTTACTTGAACTTAAAGTGATTGATGTTAGGGGTCGTTTGAGATAGGTTTAAGCTTTGAAGCTTCCCAATCGATGTCACATACAAACCGTATGGTAACAAGGAAATCTAA